GCATGTTGGAGCAGCTCTGTTACTTTCATTCTGAGATTTTGCTTTTGGAAACTTTAATTCCTCTTTTTCTGGATGTAAGTCACATTTTTTGGATGACTGTTTCCTCTGGTATCAGATGATGTGCAGCTGGAAGGATTTGTACTGAAACTTTTTCAGTTTTGGACATTTGTTATGATGCGTAACCATGGCAACAAGATAGTTTTCTACAACCAACAGCAGCTGATTAACATCTCAAAAGCTCAAATAATATCTCAACTACAGCCCCGAATCTCAAATGAGTTGAAAGGATGTTCTGTGGACCTTTACAAGAGATCCTTCCTGTCTACAGCCATCAGTATCTATAACATCTCTTAACGAAATGAGGCTAATGAGTTACAACATTTAATTTCCCTTTAGGATTATTAATAAAGTATTTTTGAATTGAATTGAATTGAAGTGGGTAGAAGTTACACTGAGTATAACAGGAGAGGTAGGTTTTTTTTTTTCTTGCTTTGAGTCGGCACAGAGTGACAGACCCTGGTGAATGAAGGGAGCAGATTTATCCAGGCTAATTGGTTAGATTGGCTAATAAAACTGGCTGGACGTGATCACCAGTGACCCCGATGACCTAAAACGAAAGAAGTGGGTAAAGGTAATGGATGGATTGAACTACCAATGGCGTAGCCAGGGGACGGCCAAGGCAAGGGCGTCAGAAGCATCCGTAATGTGGGGGGGACACAATGATGTGTGTAGGTGTGTGTGTGCGCGCGTGTGTGCACGTGCTTGTGCGCGCATTAAAAAAAGGTGTTCACTAGTGAACAAAAAAAGCAACATTTCACCTTGATTTCCTTTAATTCCACACATTTAAAACGTGTTTCTCACCAAGTTTGTGTAAATTCAGCTGTGGGTTTAAAGTAATTTTAACTTTAATACACTTTAATAAAGAGCGTCAGGTCGGCACTATTTGTCTTTATAGAGAAATAAAAAACTTCACCTCTTTTACTTGTGTTCAACACTACTCATCTAAATGATGTTTCTCATGAAGCTTGAGGACAATAAGGTGTGGGGTTTTAAAGACATTTCAACTTTAATGCACCTGAACACACAGCATCTCTTACACCTGCAGCGTCTGACAGCGTCACAGTTACTGCTAAGCTAAGACGCTACAGACGTAGCGCTCCATGTCTCTCCTCCTAACATGAATATATGTTTATGATCAACCCCCTGGTCAACAATTGGCCGCAAAAAGCTCGCTAAACTGGCGAGCGAGTAACACAGAGGTGTCGCCATCTCCTCCACCTGTGCACGTTTTCTGCTGAAGCAGAAGGAGACAAACAGAAACACTGCAGGTGTTACACCATATTCTGTTACCACCATATATTGTGACCGTGGCAACAGACTGCTGTGTTTAGAGTTGGAGGTAACCAGGAAAACCTGGAGTGGAGTTGTAGTGGCTTGAATATTCTCCTATTAATCAAGTGGAATGGATTTGTTCAGGAAGAAAGAGAAACTGCGCCGCCTGAACTAATGTTTCGTAGTAGAAGTGGGGGGGTCCAAATGAATGTTTTTGAAATGTGGGAGGGACTTGTCCCCTTCACATATAATGGTTGCGACGCCTATGGGCCAAGGCCACCATAAATTATGAATGAATGCCTTTTATTGTCACTGTACCCATGTACAATGAGATTAAAAGCAACTCTTCTTACGGTGCAACAAATAAACCAAAGGATTAAATAATTAATAAAATAATTAAAAGTTAAACATGCACAAGTAAAGGCAGTGGGTAAAAGGAAGTCCAGAGGGTTAACCTGTGAAGTCAGTGCATGTGTGAGTTCAGAAAGGTTATGGCTTTTGTAAAAATACTCTTGTTCTGTTTGTGTTTGTTCTGCTGCTCCCTGAGGGAGTAGATGTTCTAAACTGTTCTAAACCAGGGGGGAGCAGTCCTTGATCATGTGTTGATGGTGTCTAGTTGTAGCCTCACACCAAAATGGAAGTCAGGACCTCTTATTTCTTAAGGTTTCATGTTCACAATGTGGACAGGCAAAACGAGGGGATTTCCAATTCATCATCTTCACTCTGCAACAGGGGACAAAATGTACATTGGATCCCCCTCCCCATCATGGGATAAAGATATGGTGGTCAGATGAGACCAAAACTCAACTTTTTGTCCAATACCATGTCTGGTGCAAACAGAAACACCTCTCACCATTCTGAGAACATCATCCCACAGTGAAGCATGGTGGTGGCAGAATCATGGGGTGGGGGGATTTTTATCGGCAGGGACTGTGAATGTATTGGGTGTGAAGAACAGATGAATCATTGATTCTTCTGCTGAAGATGGAGCAAACTTTAGATATGCAGAGATTTGAGACCTGGATGGAGGTCCACCTTGCAGCAGGACATTGACCCTAAACACTCTGCTGAAGCAACTCTCCAGTGGTTTACGGAGAACCAGGTAAATGTCTAGATCTCAGTCCAATTGAGAATCTCAGGTTGGATTTCAATTTTATTGAACGCAAGCAGATGAATATTTCCTCTCTCAAAATGCTGAACTTGCTTTTCACTTTGGACAGATTCACCCTTAACTATTAGAGCTTCATTCTGTTGGTAATCCTGGAAGAAAAGAACCCATCTGAAGCTTTAAGACACTTACCTACTTTTAATATTTACTTGGTTGCAACGTTTGATTTGATTTAAAAGGGAAAATGTTGCATAAAAGGTGTAAACAGCTGCTGAGTTTACAGCAGCCGAGCTCTCTGAGAAAGATCCGTAAAACGAGTTTGTTGCTGTCTGACCCGCCCCGTTCTTTCCTTTCTGCATCAGTGGACTGAATGGAATTCATTTGCCACCCTCTCCCCCACCCAGAGGCCTTCTGTGGTTTATCTTCTATGCTGGGGTGGGGGTCACTGACAGGCCGCTAACGATGGACAGGAGCTGTGGTGCTCGTTTGGAAATGGTAGCAGGTGCAGAATCTCCTGAATCGTCCTTTGGTGCTTTATTTGAGAAGCTGCTACCCCCCCCCCCCCCCCTTTTTTTTTTTTTTATTTTATTTTTTACATTTACTGCAAGGCTGTGTGATTATGAGCAGTGACAGGAGAGATTATGGGAAATCAGATAAAGTGGCCTATTTTGGAGAAATGTGCCTGGAGATTCCAGATGTTTACGGTTCGATCATGAGTGTCAGAGCCGGGGGGGCTTGAAGTCCTTCTGATTAACTGCAGTGAACACAACATTCAACTCTTTCAGAAAAATAAGTGAGCACGGCTCGGTGCACCTGCTCAGTGGAGGGCTGGATAAGGATGTGCATTTCTGTAAACTGAACTTTTATTAACTTTATTTAGATTATTAGTAGCATCATCCCTGCTGGGACTTGTCTGTTTTATTTTAATTTGTTCTTTTCTATTGCCCTCCATAAAAACACAATTTCTTTAGAAGAAGCTTTCCCTCCTCAGGAGTCACCACAGTGAGTCCTCCTCCGTCTCACTCTGTCCTCTGCATCCTCTGTCCTCACTCCAACTACCTCATGTCCTCTCTAACTTCATCCATGTATCTCCTCTTTGTTTTTTCCTGGCAGCTGCATTTCTAACATCCTTCTACCAATATACCCACTGTCCCTCCTCTAGACATGTCCAATCCACTGTCCCTCCTCTGGACATGTCCAAACCACTGTCCCTCCTCTGGACATGTCCAATCCACTGTCCCTCCTCTGGACATGTCCAAACCACTGTCCCTCCTCTGGACATGTCCAAACCACTGTCCCTCCTCTGGACATGTCCAAACCATCTCAGTGTGTCCTCTCTAACTTTATCTCCCAGTTGTTCAACCTGTCCTGTACCTCTGATGATCTCATTCCTAATCTTATCCATCCTTGTCACTCCTAAGGAGAACTTCAACATCTTAATTTCTGCTACTTCCAATTCTGTCTCCTGTCTTTTTGTCCACGTCTCTGTCTCCAGACCAGACAACATAGCTGGTCTCACCACTGTCTTGTAAACTTTTCCTTTGACCTTTGCTGACACCCTTTGTCTCAAATCACTCCTGAAACTTTTCTCCATCCACTCCATCCTGCCTGGACTCTCTTCTCCACCTCTTGACCACACTTCCCATGTTCCCTCCATATAATGGCGATAATGTTTCTGTGCTTGTGTGAAATATCTGATGAACTTGTGGACGAATTTTGATGAACTAATGGTTGTTCATCTACAACTGATAAACGTCAGGGGATTTTTGGTCAAGATTTATGGATGTTTATCTCTGCTAATGTTAAATTAATGTTGAACCATGTGTGAGGTCAGAGAGTTCTTTCCTTTCTCAGAGAGGAGCTCATTTGATCCTGTATGTACAGCTGGGAGGCCAAGGTCAGCAGTCTGTGAAGGCTGATATGCGTGTATATAAACAGTTGTCGCACACTGCCCCGTGCAGGTTCTCGCGACCTGGCTTCAGTGATGTAGAGCTTTAATGTATCTGTGTAAACCTGTGAGCAAATGTCTGCCATGGCAAGTAAAACCAGTTAAAATATCTTCTTGCGTCCTCAAGTGGGGCTTCTTTGATTAAGTAAGATGAGCAGAGGATTTTTTTTTTCCAACAATAAACTTTTGAAGTCAACTTGATTTAAGATGGTCTCCACAGCTAAGCAAACTTAGAAAACACAAACATTATTATAACTCGGACATTTTTACAGATGCTGAGCTAAAATTTTGGGTGGTAGTAGCTGAGAGCCATTAACAGCACATACTCTGAGTGCCAGTCCATCTTGCAAGATTGTGCATAAAGTTTGTTAAAGGTTTGACCAAAACAGTCTGACTTTATTTCTCATCATAAGAGCTCAGTTTAAAGTTCTGACATGACAAGCAGTATTTCTTCAAGGAATAAAAGGCCTTTGCTTCAAAAAAGATGTACACATTTTACACTGCTTCAAACCACAGTGTAGAGTGAAATCAGTTTAAATGGTTTGTTTTTTATACGAATGTTTGTGACTTCATCCAAAATGTAGGAAGTTGAACATCTTGTTTTTGTTTCAGGAGTTCTTTGAGAATCCGGCCTTCAGGCCCGACGGTTTGAAGCTCTACCCAACGCTCGTGATTCGAGGCACGGGGCTGTACGAGCTGTGGAAGACGGGACGGTACAAGAGCTATTCTCCGAGCGCTCTGGTGGACCTGGTGGCACGAATTCTGGCTCTGGTTCCCCCCTGGACACGAGTGTATCGGGTGCAGAGGTGAGGAGGGAAACTCGTAGAGACAAATGATAAAAGCTGCACCGAGAATAATCTTTTGATGAATCCCAAAGTGATAAACATAAATAACTGATATAAAGTAGACAAGTAACAGTTCAGCTTCTTCTTCTTGTCTTTGTCGTGTTCTTTTTGATCTTCTTCTTCTTCTTCTAAAATAACTTTGTTTAAACTTATACATGAAATATTGATATTAACGGGTGATATGCATTCCTTCAGGCGATACTAAACTTTGAAGTTCAACTTTCTTACAATCACATAAAAAAATAATAATAAATATTTTTAAATTTTTATTAATTCTAAGTGAATTCCTTTTTTTCTGTAAATTTATCTTTTTTCATGTTTTTCCCCCAAAATTTATTGTCCCCCATCGCAAAGCAAAAAGAGGAAATTGAAAATACCCATAGTCTGTTCGTCCGTGCCTTTTGTGAGCATGATAACTTGAAAAATGAGCGAGACACTGACTTCCATTTTGGTGTCTAGCTGCATCTAGGCATAAAAAAAGGTTCCTTTCAAAACTTGGGTTGCCACCTCAAAATCCAAGATGGCTGCTGTCAATATGTTGTTTACATTTATATTTTCTTCAAATAATTGGGGTGATCAAAAATAAATCTATTGTAGCCAAGACCACCATTGTCCACCCCTGGCTCCATCATTGCACCTGGTGATGGATAAAATTTCTACCTGCACATGCCAGGATCCATCACTGCGTCCCCTCAGACAAGACAAAAAAAACAACCTTTGTTCTTCTACATAGTGTGTTGGACTTGAATATCTTGTGCCAAAAACATTACGGTTTACTTGCATCCCCTGTTTAATTCCTCTCCTGGAAAACACTCATCTCAAAAACTAAAAACATTCACTGTTCAAACCCGGTGTACCGCTTGTTACGTTTCTTGTCTCCCCCAACTCAGAAATGGTTTTATTCATAGATACATTATGCATGTCAAGATATTCAGACAGTGTTACTCTTATATCTTTGTTTTACTGTCATTTCCCCCACCTTCTTCCTCTACCAGGGACATCCCCATGCCCCTGGTGAGCTCTGGTGTGGAGCACGGTAACCTGAGAGAGTTGGCCCTAGCCAGGATGAAGGACATGGGCACCGAGGTGAGACTGAAAGGCCTTAAAGACTGTAAGTCAGGAAGCTAACAGACATTTCCAGCTGGGCTGTGATCCAGAGGAGGCTCTGGTGCAGTCTGGGTGTATTTGGCTTTGATAAAGTAAAATGGCAGAATAAAAAAACATTTAAAGCGAGGACTGTTGGAGCATTTTCCCTTTAACTCAAACAGAGGGTTAGTTAGAAGTAGATCACAGCTTCAGAGACATGAAACAGAAAAGTCTAAGACTGGTGATAAAACCCATTCCTTGAACAAACAATCCCTCTGTTAGCTTCTCTTAAAAACAGTTGTGATAGTTATTGATCATAGGCATTGATCATTACTATATGACTGATGTTCTTCATGTTCATTGTTTTCCGCAATCTCAAATCCATCAAGCCTTCTGCCCTTTCCGCTCTTGTCACCACCAAACTGGCAATCTCCCCGCCCCCACTGACTGACAACCCTTCAGAACTGGTCACCTATTACAACAGCACTCTCTCCTATTGTATTGATGAGCTAGCCCCTATTAAAACCAAAATTTCACTCACACTGCCCCTGGTAAACCTCTGAGCTCCATAAAATGAAATCACGAAAGCGTCAACTTGAGAGACTGTATAAGAAATCTGGTCTAACAGTCTATCTCCAAATGTACACAGACTATAAACAGAAATACAAGGATGCACTAAACTCTGCCTGGTCAAATTACTACTCCAATCTCATCCACTCTGGCTCCAGCAACCTCAGATCTCAATTCTCAACTATCAGCACCCTTTTAAAGCCCAAGAACAACATTTCCTCATCCTTTAACATCACCAAATGCAATAATTTCCAATCTTTCTTTCAGTCTACAATTGATAACATTTATAGTTCCCTTGATCTTGTCTCTGCTCACAAAGCTTCTCCAAATTCACCTCCCTCCAGTTCCAGTCAGCAGCGCTCACACTTCACTCCAATCTCCTCTGCTCAACTGACTAAACTTTTGTCTGGTATCAAAACTACCACCTGCTCTTTGGATCCCACTCCCTCTCCTCTCATCAAAAGTTGTCTACCCATTGTCTCTTTTCTGATCACAAGAATCATCAACTTGTCACTTACTTCTGGATCTGTTGTTCCACAGTCTCTCAAGTTGGCAGTACCCCAATACTAAAAAAACTGACCTTGACACTGAGAACTAGGGCTTTAACAGACTACTCGAGTAATCGACACATCGATTCCTAGGACATCTATCGAGTTTTTAAATGTCACGTCGAGTATTCATTGTAACGTCATTACGCTGCCGTTACATCATTGCGTCATGTGTCACGTGATTTCCATCGGGTGCGGGTTACAAAATGGATACCTCCAAGCAGATGGACTGAGCAGAGCAGGCCCAGTCTTGGCAAACAGGTAGAAATGCATCAATAGTATGGAAATATTTCAGTAAGATGAATATTACGGTTCAACTACCGTAAGGAAACAGAAAATGAATCAACTTCCTGGCTGTTTGGAGCTCGTAGCAAACTGGTGTTATACCTTATTCTGTGACCACCGTATATTGTGACTGTAGGGGGCGATGTTGCATGCACTGTTGCAGGTCACAGAATATGGTGTAACACCGGGTCCAATCGACCAAACCAGAACCAGCTTCCTCTGACCTTTTTTCACAAACAAAAAGTAAAAAATATTCATCTCTAAACTTATTTAAAATAAAAAAAACCTATAAACATATTAATCTCTAAAACTAAATATAATGCGCACCGCTGCGGGCGGTGGTGCGGGGTGGTCGACCCCCCCACTGTTTTTAGTTTCGTTTTTGACGTGCCGCATGTTTCTTTCACTTTTGCAGCTTAATAATAATAACTTAGTATGATAAATGGTAGGAGCATAATATACTCTCCCAATGTTTTGTTGGTCTTATTTTGTAAATAAAAAATGATGTTTTTGCGGTTTTATTTATTCATTTATTTTTGCATTTTTAGATTCTATGACGTCATCAACTACTCGAGTTCTACTCGAGTTTTATTATGTTAATGTCGAGTTAAAAAATTATGTAGTCGTTCAACCCCTACTGAGAACTTCATAAATTTCCGTCCTATATCCAATCTTCCCTTTCTGTCTAAAATTTTAGAGCGAGTTTTAGCCGATCAACTTCAGACCCACCTCAAATCTAATAGCTTGTTGAACCATTCCAGTCCGGTTTCCATAAAAAAACACAGCACCGAAACTGCTCTTCTCAAAGTTACAAATCAATCTCCTCCTTTCCTCTGATTCTGACCAGCTCAGTATCCTCATCCTCCTGGACCTCACTGCAGCTTTTAACACCGTCAGTCATTCCATCCTCCTGTCCCGTCTCATGTCCAACCTGATCATCACAGGCTCCATTCTGTCCTGGTTTCAGTCATACCTCACAGACCGGCAACAGGTTATTCATATCAACTTTTGCTCCTCCTCCACTCTATCCCAGGGTGTTCTCCAAGGTTCAGTGTTTGGTCCTCTCCTTTTCATCCTTTACATCCTCCCCATTGGTAATATGGTATAACGTTTATTCATTTAAAAAAAAGTACAAAACAATTCCATAACAATATAAAAAAAGATACAAAAGATTTAAAATGAAAGGCAGCAGAAAGAAGAAAAAATCTTATTATATCTGCCCCTTTTTTCAAACAATTATTTCAATCATAATAATTTTCAAGTAACAGAACAAAATGAATAACTCTTTCTAATTTTTCTAATTCTAATACAAAAAACACACTAGGCTACTTCATATATTTTTTTTAACAATCCAGTTTTGGTCTTTTTCTTAAATGTACACATTGACTTGGCATTTTTCACATCACTCTTCAGACCATTCCACAATCCAATTCCTTGGATTGAGGTAGACCTTCCCTTCAGACTAGTTCTGAATTTTGGTTTGACAAATATCTCTATCCCCTTTAGATTATAACAACTTTGTCTTTTAACAAAATTTCTTTGAATATTTAACGGTAATGTGTTATTTTGAGCCCTATACATAACTGATAAAATACTATAATCTACCAAATCATGGAACTTCAATAACTTCAGTTGATAAAATAATGTGCTTGATGGGTGACTGTAATGCTTTCTGGTGATAATTCTTAAAGCTCTTTTCTGTAAAATAAAAATAGGTTTTGTAAATGTTTTACACGCTTTCCCCCAAACAGCAATGCAATAGATTAAATGTAGAACAATAATTGTGTTATACAATATGTACAGAGCTTTATTGTTTAATAATTCCCTGACTTTGTATAGTACTGCAATAGATTTAGCTATTTTTGTTCTTACAGAATTTGTGATTTTTCCATGTTAGCTGTTCATCAATGATTACACCCAAAAATTTCATCTCATTAACTCTACAAATCTCAACACCCTCAATTTTAAATGGATCATCAACAATTCTCTTTTTGTTACTAAATATCATGTATTTAGTTTTATCTAAATTTAATGATAATTTATTAAGTTTAAACCAAGTTTGTATTTTATCAAATTCTGTCTTCATCAATTCCAACATCCGTTTTACATCTTTACCCAAACAAAAAAATGTGGTGTCATCTGCAAAAAGATTTGAGGAGTCTGATACATTCACCAAGTCATTCACATATAAAATAAATAACTTTGGTCCAAGTACAGAGCCTTGAGGAACTCCACAAGTGATATTGCACAGGTCAGATCTTACACCATTTATTTGTACAAACTGTTTCCTATCTTTTAAATAGCTAGATACCCAGTGTAATGCTGGTCCTCTTATACCATATTTATTTAATTTTTCAAGGAGAATAGTGTGATCAATAGTATCGAATGCTTTTTTTAAATCATCAAAAATACTAACACAATACTGTTTTTGATCGACAGCAGTAGTTATTTGTTCCATTATTTCCATGAGAGCCATTGATGTAGAGTTTTTTTATCTAAACCCATACTGACTGCTACTTAGAATGTTTTGTTTAGTAATAAATTTATCTAATCTGGTCACAAACAGTTTTTCTAGAATTTTTGAGAACTGTGGTAATAAGGATATTGGTCTATAATTATTGAACACACATTTATCACCATTTTTAAAGAGAGGAACTACCTTAGCTACTTTCATATTGTCTGGAAATATTCCTTTTGAAAATGATAAATTACAAATATATGTAAACGGCTCGATAACATAACTCATTATGTCCTTTACAAACGTCATATCCATGTCCACCCAGTCTTTTGATCTCTTATCTGTAAGATTTTTTACAACATTCATTATTTCTTCTTTGTCAGTTCCATTAAGAAAAATACTGTTGTCACAACCTATAACTGAATGGTTCACATTATTGTGTCTATTTTTGGTATTTTAGCTGCAAGGCTTGATCCAACGTTAACAAAATAATGATTAAATCCATTTACAATTTCATTTTCATCATGGATTTCATTGTCATCTTTCAAAAAATATTGTGAAATACCTGTTTTTGCTTTATGACTTTTCAGAACATTATTTATTACTCGCCATGTTGCTTTCATATCACCATTAATTACTTTTATTTAATAAATCATTATAATATTCCTTCTTGTGTTTCCTTATAATCACTACTAATTTATTTTTATACTTCTTATATTTCTCTTCAGCCTCTTGTGTTTTCAATTTCAAGAAACATGTATACAAATAATTATTTTTTTTTTTAACAAGCATTTCTCAACCCTTTCGTCATCCATGGTTGGTCAACAACATTTCTCTTTGTATAATTATTTTGCACACAATTCTTTTCATACAGAGCTCCTAAAATATTCATAAACTCATCATATGATCTGTTCACATCATCAACATACACGTCTTTCCAGCTTTGTTTATGTAAATCATCTTTTAATTTGTCCATTGCTTTTTTTGATGTTTGTTTTTTTCTTAATTGTAATTTCTTTTGTAATGCTTTGATCATTTTTATAAATTGTGAAAACTGGTAAGTGATCACTCAAATCACTCATTAAAATACCTCCCATCACATCCCCATTTGTTACATTTGTGAAAATATTATCGATTAC